TTCGGAAAAGCGGATGATGAATCTCCTATTATTGGATCAGTCTATTTGCCGCTCAATGTCTCTCTGTAATTGGAGCAACATCACTTTAAAGGTTCAGAGAGTACAGCATTTCTGGTGAAAAATCCCCACAACACGGCGCTGAATGTTTTAAAGGGAAATCTATTAGTGATTTGCGGAGGGGCGGGGAGGAGGCGGCGGGGGGTGGGGGGAGGCGCGGGCTCCCGGCCGGCCCCGAGTGAAGTGGGGGGCTCGCCCGGGGCCCCTGCCTCGGGCCCAGGCCCCAGCCCGCTGCCGCTGGGCCCTGGGCGGCCCCTCCCTCCCTCCGTCCCTCCCGCTGCCCCCCCCAGCCCGTCTTGTTGTGACAGTTCCTGATACTGTTTATTGAGGTGCATGTCAGGTATAATTAGCAATCGATATGGAAAACGTTTCCCTGCACCCAGCACGCCTCTGACGTCAGAGCCGATTAGCGCTTCTTATTGGTCCCAAATTCCCCGGGCCGCGGCTAATTATCGGGAGCTTGATGTTGATAAGTAAAGCGCCGGAGTGCGGGCGAAGCATGTGTGGGGCTCCGGGTCCCTGTCTCCGCCGCCGCCGCCGCCGCCCGCGCCTCCCGCCGCTGGCCCGCCCCGGCCCCGGCCCGCGCCCCAGCGCCCCGCCGCCGGCCCCGCCGGCCCCCCGCGCGAGATGATGGACGGCCGCCTCCTGGAGCACCCGCATGCCCAGTTCGGGGGCTCGCTGGGCGGCGTGGTGGGCTTCCCCTACCCGCTGGGCCACCACCACGTGTACGAGCTGGCCGGCCACCAGCTGCAGTCGGCCGCCGCCGCCGCCTCGGTGCCCTTCTCCATAGACGGCCTGCTAGGCGGCTCGTGCGCCGCCGCCGCCTCGGTGGTCAACCCCACGCCGCTGCTGCCGGCCGCCTGCGGGGTCGGCGGGGACAGCCAGCCCTTCAAGCTGTCAGGTGGGCGCGGCGGGCGGCGGGGAGGAAGCTGGGGAGGAGGGCGGCTGGGGGCGGGGGCTCTCGTCCGGCCGGGGCGCTGGGGGGCCCACGGCTGGCAAAGGCGGGCCGGCCCCTAGGCAGCCCCTGGTCTCCGCGTCCCCCGGACCCGAGGGGCCAGCGGGTCGCGGGAGGGGTGGGGGTCGGGCCTGGGCCGGTGGCTGAGCCGCGCGGTGTCCTGTGCGTGCCCGCAGACTCGGGGGACCCGGACAAGGAGAGCCCGGGCTGCAAGCGGCGGCGCACCCGCACCAACTTCACAGGCTGGCAGCTGGAGGAGCTGGAGAAGGCGTTCAACGAGAGCCACTATCCCGACGTGTTCATGCGCGAGGCGCTGGCGCTGCGCCTAGACCTGGTCGAGTCCCGAGTTCAGGTAAAGACCCAGCGTCGCTCCCGGATCCACCATCAGGACCCCGGGCTCGGGGCGCGCTGGGATGCCTTTGTTCCAAGTGGCGAGATCTCCACTGGCCGCGGGCCCGGCTTCGTGCTCGCCTGCTGGGGAAGAGTGGAGGGTTGGGGGTTCTGCGCTCGCCTGCTGGGGAAGAGTGGAGGGTTGGGGGTTCTGAGGCTCCGGCCCTCACGGAGAGCGGGGTGGGTAAACCCTCCCCCCCAAAAAAAGCCTAGGTGGCTTGTGAAGGGCCGGCGGCAGCACCCAAGTCGCCAGGACGGCGACTGCGTCCGAACCGGGAAGCCGCGTGGTGGGTTGGCGGCGGCCGGGCCAAGCGAGGTCTCTCGGCAGGGGCAAGGAGGGACCGGCTAGGCTCCGACCTGGGGGAGAGAGGGAAGGGGGATCCTCCCCCACCCCGGCCTCCACCTCCCGCGCGAGGCTCTCTCGCCCGGCCTGGAGCGAAGGAGTCTGTTTACCTTGCGCCTGCAAAATATTCAGCTGGAAACGTATTTATTCATCGCTTTGCAGAAGGGGGACAGCTGAGGAAAGGGAGGAGGAAGCTTAAACAGTTAACACATTGAGAAAGTGGGAGGAAAAAAGGTGTCTGAATTTTTAATACCCCTGGTCTCATCTTTTTCTTATGACTATTTCCCCCTAAAATTTGCTATCATTTAGAGATGGCTGGTGGTATTCTTTTAAAAAATATGGTGTGTGCTTGGTGGACTAAAAATTCCAAGATGATTTGTGCATAATTAGACCTTTTCCTGGAGCACAGAAATCCTCTTTTTTTGGGGTGGCTGCGGTGTGGGGGTCCAGGTCTGGGGTGCGGTGTGTGGCTGTGGGTGCCAGGCGTTGAGGCAGACGCTGGCAAAATGCCTGTTTATCACCAATAGCTTTGTCTAAAAAGGTGTGTTTGTCCTGTGCTTGGACCTTCCCTAGTGACCTCTTCTGCTTGGAAATCCTTTTATCCAATTTGTTGTAAGTGTCTTAAGTGAAGTCAAGACCCCTTCACGTCTCCCTAATACGATAATGACTAATTCTTACTGGCAAGGCCATCCAGAATTCGTACCAAAAAAAAAAAAAAAAAAAAAAGTTTAAAGAAGAAAAAGGGGGTTACAGCCTTGAGGATCTCGCTTAATCCTCGAGACCTCCCCACGGACAAGGCTCCCTGCGACCAGGCTGGGCCTGCTATTGTGCGAGTCTCTATATGGCCGCGACAAAGAATTGGTATGAACCCGCTCTCTTAGGGAGGGCAGGACTGCCCGAGGTTCCGCGGGGATCAGCCGGCTTTGACTCTGAGTGATGGTTGGCGGTTGAGTGAGGGTCTAGAGCTGCTGTCCTGTGTGGCTCCCCAGGACAAGGACTGCAGAGAGGGTGGAAGAGATGGGATGGACCCAGCCTCTCCTCCAGGCCTGGTGGTCGCCTCTTGCCTCCCCACCTGCCTTGCCTGGTGGCCCAGGCCAAGCACGACTGGTTTGAGAAGCCTCCGTTGGTGCCCTGGCCCGGGGCTTGCGGAAAGAAGGCTGTGTTAAACGTGTTCTGGGAGAGAGGCTGCAGAAGCCCACCCAAGTACAGCTCCCCAGGCCCTTCCAGACGAAGAAGCACCCAGATTTCCCTTCAAGGGAACCGCCCCCCAAAATCTGGGCTTTGACACAGCTTCCAGGGGGCCGAAGACAGGTGTGGAGGGCGGCTGTGGCCCAGCGGTCCAACGGCAGGATGGTCAGCGCCAGGCCGGGCGGACTGCTTAGAACGCGAGCAGCCAGGAAGGGCGAGGAGGGGCCTTGCTCTCTGCCTCCAGACCAGGAACCCGACGCCCTCCGTCCGGGGCCAGACCGGCCCTCCAAGGAAGGGGCGGCTCCCGGTCCCTGAGGTGAGAAGCCAGAGCGGGAAGCGGGCTGGTAGGCCCCGTCTACACGCCTTCCAGGTGGAAAAGGCGCTCGCTGGATCCTGCAGCTCCAGTGGCAAAGCCCAGCTCAGGGCCGGCCCAGCCGCGCGGCCTGACTCCTGACCCCGGCCGAGCGGAGGTTGTGCAGGCCAGTCTCGGGGGGAGCGGGGAGGTCCTCGGCCCCGGCGGCCAGCCCACCGCCTGATTGTGGCTTCCTTTCCCCTATCCGGCTGCTCTAGGTCTGGTTCCAAAACCGCCGGGCCAAGTGGAGAAAGAAGGAGAACACGAAGAAGGGCCCGGGGCGGCCCGCGCACAACTCGCACCCGACCACGTGCAGTGGCGAGCCCATGGACCCGGAGGAGATCGCGCGCAAAGAGCTGGAGAAGATGGAGAAGAAGAAGCGCAAGCACGAGAAGAAGCTGCTGAAGAGCCAAGGCCGCCACCTGCACTCGCCCGGCGGCCTGTCCCTGCACAGCGCGCCCAGCTCCGACAGCGACAGCGGCGGCGGCGGGCTGTCTCCGGAGCCTCCCGAACCGCCGCCGCCCGCCGCCGCCAAGGGCCCCGGAGCGCACGTCTCGGGCGCCGCGGGAACCGCGCCCGCCCCTCCCGGAGAGCCGCCTGCGCCCGGCACCTGCGACCCCGCCTTCTACCCGAGCCAAAGAAGCAGCGCCGGCCCGCAGCCGCGCCCAGGCCGCCCTGCGGACAAGGACGCAGCCTCGTGCGGGCCCGGTGTGGCGGCGGCGGAGCGCGGCGCGGCGGGGCTGCCCAAGGCCAGCCCGTTCAGCGTGGAAAGCCTCCTGTCCGACTCGCCGCCGCGCCGGAAAGCGGCAACCAACGCCGCCGCGGCCGCCGCCGCGGGGCTGGACTTCGCGCCTGGGCTGCCGTGCGCGCCGCGGACCCTGATCGGCAAGGGCCACTTCCTCCTCTACCCCATCACGCAGCCGCTCGGCTTCCTGGTGCCGCAGGCCGCGCTCAAGGGCGGCGCTGGCCCGGAGCCGGCGCCCAAGGACGCGCCGCCCGCGCCCGCCGCGCCGCCAGCGCCGCCCGCCCAGGCCAGCTTCGGGGCCTTCTCGGGGCCCGGCGGCGCACCGGACTCGGCCTTCGCGCGCCGCAGCCCCGATGCCGTGGCCTCCCCAGGGGCCCCCGCCCCGGCGCCTTTCCGGGACCTCGCCTCGGCTGCGGCGACGGAGGGCGGCGGCGGGGACTGCGCGGACGCGGGGACGGCCGGCCCCGCGGCCCCGCCGCCCTCGCCGCCCTCGCCGTCTCCCGGCCCCGGCCCACTGGCTCCCAGCCCCGCCGGGGAGCCGACCAACTGCGGGGTCCCCGAGCCTGGGTCGGCGGCCGGACCCAGCCTGCCCGAGGGCGAGGAGGTGGACATGGACTGAGGCCGCGGCGGCCGGGAGAGGCGCGTAGCCGGCCCGCGGCTGCTCGCTCAGGCTCCGACTCACGCAACGAATCAGGTGATCGGCTCTAGAAACACTGCTTTTCCCTCTTTTCTTTTGTTTTCTTCCTTTTATTATTTTTATAAGAGTAAACAAAAGCGCTGTATCAATTCGGACCCAGGCAGCAACCACAGGACTGGGGGGTGAGACCCTCCTCCTCCCGAGGAAGCAAAAAGAACCCCTGCCCCCCCCAAAAAAACCCACAACAAGAATCCTCAGCCTTGTAAAATGCAAAAATGTCTAAGAATATTTATATATGTACCATTTTTGATAAATAAAGCTGGTCAAACGCAA